GCGTGTGGTTTTATTATACAAAATAAATATTCAATAGATAATAAATTGATTAAATTTAATCGAGTACAATAATAATAACGTACTGCAATTTTTTTTTATTTTTATTAATAGTTATTATTATTATTATCACTCTATGGGAGAAAAAATAAATACATTGAAATTATTATTATTATTATTAAAACGTATTTTTTTTTTTTTTCATAGTTTGCAATCGTGCGAGTTTTATTTTAAAAGAAAAGAAAAGATTCATTAATACAAAAGGCTTTGAGTCAAAAAAAAAAAAAAAAAAAAAAAATGCAATCAACTTGATGTTGATCTCTCGTCAAAAAAGAATTTAAATGGAAAGATTGTGTGGAGTGAATGACGTGGGGATGGGAGGGGAGGGAGGGGAAATCTTCCGGTAAGATGGTTGACCCTTCTTCGGCTACGTTATTTCCTACCAAAGTTTTTTTTAAAAAAAAAAAAAGTAATAATATTTTTTTTTTTTTTTATCACGAAAGAAACGTTAAAGAAGTTTGTGTGTGTGTGTGTGTGTGTGTGGATCTCCTCACTTGTGAAGAGCACAATCTAATCTCTCACCTTTAGGCACGAAATAATAATACCTGAAATTATATACACACGCACTTCCTCCCTCCCTACCTTTTCATGGATCCTACGGTTGTGAATGAATTTCTTTCGGTATCGAAAATTTTTATACAAATTTGTTTAAATTTTTTTTTTTGTAAAAATCCACGTGGAAAAAATTAAATGAAATTCGAAACACGATTCGCATCGGAAAAAAACCATAATAATAATAATAATAATAATAATAATTTTTTAAATTCGATACATTCATTTTCTTCCTCTTACGTATTACTTAATAAGTATACATTTTATTAAAATTCGTCATTTAAATTATATAAAATTATTATTATTATTAGGTTGTTGTCAACTTTTTAATTTAATGTTTTTCATTTTTTTTTTTTTTCGAGGGTGGTACCCGTGAAATTAATCTGACAAAACTACTACATAATAATAATTTATTTAATATGTGTTCCAAAAACAAAATAACTAGTTAATTAATTAAAAGGTATACTTATTGAGCTTATGCGAATTTTATTTATTTATTAATTTTTTTTGCACTATTACGTAAGAAGGTGTTAAATTATTAAATAATTAATATTTGATTAAAGGCGAAATGACATTTATTAACTAATTAAATGTATCACGTGAGACGATTATTAAGGTCGCAAACGTACCTTATAACCTCATTATTATTATTATTATTATTATTATTATAATGATAAACATGATGGAAACGACAAAAAACTAAAAAGCTTTTATTATTTTTTATACTATTTTCACTTTTAATCAAGTTACAAGTTTTTGTCGTCAGAATTTTTAATCATTAATTTCAGGTTTGAACCCGATCCCTTAGAAATAAATACCTTAACAACAACAATGGCGGGCGATGGTGGTGGGGGTGGTGTTTATAAAATTTTTTTTTTTTTTAAAAGAATGTTGTCGGTCGTTCTACTTATTATAATTAATACACGTAAGATAATAATTATAAGAAATTTTTTTTTTTGAATATTAAATTTCAGGTTCGCGACACGATAAGGTATTAAAATCCGTTACGAAAAATTTATGTGAAAAAATTAAAAAAAAAAAATTTTTTTAAACCTCTTTGCCGGGTGTGGGGTTCGAACCCACGCTCCCGCTTGGGAACCAGAACTTAAGTCTGGCGCCTTAGACCACTCGGCCAACCCGGCAGATATTTACGTGACGTAAAATTGCTGTTATCGAGAAACCGGCATTGTGTAATAAACAAAAAAAAAAAAAAAAATTTTTTTTTTTTCATGCACGATTTTTTAAAATAATTTTTTTTTTTTATTCCAGACCGCATTACCTCAAAATGGTAATAATTCTATATCGGCAACAACTACTACTACTACTACTCCTATTCCTCCTCCTGGACAATTATTGGAACCTAGAATGGCTCAATTAGAAACACTCGAAGCTAAGGTATGCATATAACTAAAATTAATATACTACATAATCCTCCATTTTGTTTGCGACTTTAAATACCCATAACTATTTATTTTAACGAAATAGGAAAAAAGATATAAATATTATTATTATTATGAATACGAATTTAACCTTTCACGGGCTTAATAACGACTATAAACGAAAAAAATTTATTCATTAAAAATTTCCCAATAAAACAAAAACATAAAATTTAAGCATAAAAACGAAATCCACGTGGACTTTTTTTTTTTTTTAAATTTTCCTACGTAAAAATTATTATTACTACGTCTTACCCACATTTATTGTTTTATTTAATAATAATAATAATAATAATAATAATAATAATAATAATAATAATAATAATAAATACGATTCGAGTTTTCACTTTGATAATGTTTAATAAATTCAAAACTATAATGTTTGTTAGAACAACAACAACAAAAACAATAATAATAATAAAATAATAAAATTTTTTTTTTTTTTTACCGTTAAACTCGTTCGTTTGTTTTCGAGAGGACACAAAAAGTGAGAAGAGAAAAAAAAATTTTTTTTTTAACTAATATAAATCATGACATATCGATTTTAAATAATTTTCGATTAATAATAATTAATTTTTTATCATTATCAATTTTTTTTTTTTATAGCTATTTCTTAATAGAAATCAATTATTATTATTATTATTATTAAATAGTTTTAATTTGTCGCTTATTTAACCTTATTAAAATGAAATTTTATTAAATAAGAATAAATGTAAAAAAAAAATTAATTTTAATTTGGTAGCCATTGAAAATGAATAAAAAAAAAATTTAATACGGGGTTGCCGGGTGTGGGGTTCGAACCCACGCTCCCTCTCGGGAACCAGAACTTAAGTCTGGCGCCTTAGACCGCTCGGCCAACCCGGCCTGTGATAAACTTGCCATGCAAACACGTTATTTCAATATGATGACGCACTTTTTTTTTAATAGTCAAAAACATTTGTTCGTCGTCCGACAATCATGAAAGGTAAAAGATACGGATCGTTTATAACACTTAAAGAATTTTTTTTCAACACAATGAGATGTAACCAACACATTTTGTTCAAACCGGGAGTGTTTTTTTTAAATTTCCACCAAAAAAATTAAATAAATCGGATTAGTTAACTCGATTGCATTTGATAAAGCCGAATATTATGATAATAAAAATTTTTTAAATATAAATATGCCAAGATATAAACCTGAAAATATTTTGTTGTATTATTAAAATAGTAATGCCTTACGAAAAATTTTCCTTAACATCTTTTTAACTTTCATTAATTTATTTTAATTAGATGGCGAGTATAGAAGTATCTCTTTCAACCGCTCAACGACGAAAAAATTTAAAAAAAAATGGAAACGGAGTAACAAATAATGGAAATAAGCAAAATTTATTCGCTGATAATTCTCAAAATATTTTTGCGTCTATTCGTTCGAATACGTTAATTGACACTTGTAGAGAATTGGAAATACTAAAAAATGCATTAAAGGATAAGGAGAACACTATACAAAATTTGCAAGGTAATAACAGATCATTAATTATGTGTTTCTCAGTAATAAATTACAAAAATATTTAACATTTCGTTATTTACTGTTACAGGTCAGATAAATTTTTGTGGAAGATTGGCATCCATTCAACCGCTTGATTCATCCGAAAGGCGAATTGCAGAATTAAGATTACAAACTTTAAAACAGGAAGAAGAAACTAGAAAAGCTTCCATAAAAAAAATTAACTTAATGTTGGAACACATGGACGCAGACGAGGGAAACATTGATAATAGAATTAAACAAGCAGAATTAGAATTTGAACTTGGAAGAGAAGAATTAACACTGTTAGGTAAATTTAACCAAATGTATAGTAGGTAAACTAAATAATAATAATAATAATAATAATAATAATAATAATAAAGTTTTCTGTTGTCCTCTCTTAAAATTCGATTATGAAATAAAATTCATTTTCTACTTGTTTTAATATTGCCGATAAGTTTTTTTTTATACCAATAAAGATCCTCAAATAAATACTTTATGCATAGTAATTTTTTTTTAAATTTGCACAAATAATTAATATTACTTTAAAAATTACTATGCACGTAATTATTTAGAAAAAATATTATTTAAAACTTACCTTTGTATTTGTTGAAGGCGTCAGAGAAGAAATCAGGTCTCTGATGGTTCGTCTGGACACAAAAACAGCAACCACTCTTTATTCATCAATTAATTCTTCAGGAAGGTATACCTTGCATTGTATCCAACTTGATTACGATCCGAAGAGTCCACGTTTTGGAGCTGGAAATATAGAAGATAAAGTTGGATTATTTATTTTATGGGGAGCTGAGAATTCTGGATTACATAAAGGAGATCGGTAGGTTTTTATTTTTTATTTTTTTCGAATAATGACGTCTGAATAATTTTAAAATCGTTTTTCGTTTCATATAGAATTTTAGAAATAAATGGTAAAATTACCTTGTCAACAAGCAAAGATGAAATGAATCGATTATTAACAGTGTGCCCTAACAAAGCAGAAATGGTAGTTTTAAGAATTTGGACTCCTCCTTCAACCGAAGACTATTTGAGAAGAGAAAATTTACGACTCACTCATAGAATATCATATTTAGAAGATCAAGTATCAGAACTTATACAAAATAGGGAAAAACTTATATCATTGAAAATATCCAAAAGTGAGGAAAAACAAGCGGAAGTTTTTCAAAAAGGCTCACACATAGCTCTTTTGTCTTCCGAATTGTCCGTCAATTCTCCAAAATCAAATTCTTTTGAATGTTCAAATCATTCAATCAAAGTTTCTGGAGAAGGAGGAGTTAATGTAAAATCAAATAAACAAGTTCCTTTAATTATTGAAAAATGTAACAGTTCAAGTATTCGTCACACTTCTAGAAATTCTGGCTTTAAAAATCATGAGAGTGAAAATTTTCAGCAGTGTACTCTAAATGGAAAAGAAAACATTAAAGCCCTTGCAAAAAGATATGAAAAAGAAGAATTATCATCTTTTTTTTCTAAAAGCAAATGGGTTAAAACTAAAGATAATAGTGATAATTCTCCGGTAAAGCCAACGAATAATGTATCTGAATTAAAAAGTGTTTCTTCAAATTATGAAAATTCCTGTTCGTTATCAGATTTAGAATGGCCAAAACGAAAGCCGGCACATCATCATAGTAGGATGCTTGATTACAGTTCTGAAACGGGTTGTCTTAAATATAAATCATTTAGAGATAAAAAAATAGAAACTGATGAAGAATCAAGTTATCTTAAAATATCCGAACCAGAAAATGGTAGGATAAAGCCTACGCCACCTAAAAAACCTATCAGATTGTCAATAAATAGAGCAACAAGTTTACAAAATTTTGAAAAAGGTTATTCGGTGCAAAATGTTGTGCGTAAAATTAGGAGATCTCATAAAGGGGAGGCTCCACCACCCCCCATTCCACATGAAGATAAAGTTCAAAATCATAACACCAATGAAGATGTAGTTCGAACAAAACTTATAAATGGATGTAATGTAAAAGAAGATACTTCTAGAACTTACTATGAAAGTAATCAACCAAATTTTTTTCCCACTTCAAATTACCCTAGTAGTAAAAACAAAATGGAAGAAAAATGGTAATTTGAGTTTTACGATAGCTCAAATAATTCGTTAAAGTTTAATTTATTATAAATGTAAAAATTAAATATTAAATATAAAAAAGTTGTTAATAAATGAAATAACTAATATAAAATCAAAAACAATTGCAAGTCAAACCTTTTTATAAAGAAAAAATTCCTTATTCTCTTGTCCTTGTTAATCCAGATTTTAAACTAGCTAACACCACAGACAAACTCTTAATTTCCCTCCATTTTCGGGGCCCTGATTGGAAGTTTATCTCAAAATGGCGCTATTCAATAGTAACTTTTTTACTTTGAATATAGTTATGCATAATATTTACTATTGACTGCAAGCGTTATTATTTTGCGAATCGTAAATTAAATATGACTGATGCAGAAAACGGAAATTTAGAAGACTGGAGTGTTGAATGCTCTGATGATGAAAAATATGAGATAAAATCCAAATGGGCCACCATTGGGGTGAGTATATTAACCTAAAATTAAAGTCATGTAGTCGTTTTTAAATTGTATTATACAAATATACAAAAGAATTCGTTAAAAACATATAATTTTGTAGGATATGTTAGTACCACCAGCCGAAGATATTGCTAGTCTTCATGAAGTTTTATGTATTGATAGATTGATAGCTCTTGAATGGCAATGTTTTGGAAGAAGACCTCCTACTCCAGAACCCGGTCTTGTTGTTCCTCAAGAAATTAAAACAAAGTAAGTTGTAAAAACTTATAATCATTTAAATAAGTTTTGCTTATATTTTACTAATTTTTACTTTTGTAACCTAATAATAATTATTATTATAATATTATTAGAATTGAAGACAGAGTGATGATTTTTTTGATTTCGATATGGATGACATGCCATCAAATCAACCAAAATTACCTGTTAGAAGAAGAGAAGGTGAACTAAAAGGTGGAGCTAGAAAAAAAACAACAAGCTTTGATGGAATCATTTCAAACATGAAACGACATTGGAAATTAGACAATGAATCTCAATCTTAAATTGTAATTTAAATTGTACAAAGAATATTTTTTTTTTTTTTTGTTATGTATTAATTCCATTATATGTATATTTTTATAATAATGTTTTGCATTAATGATATTTTAACCAAAGTAACATCACCCACAACTACAAATCACTTTTACAAATGAGCTACTTTAATAATTCATTGTATATTTTATTATCGATAAGTCATCATCATAATTGAATCATTATTATCCTAAATGATTCATAATAAAACTTTACATTTCATTAAAAAAAAAAAAAAATTTGAGTATTAATATTATTACAAATGACTTATAGTTTATTCTAAATTGTTTCATATGTTCAAATATTACAGCCCAACCTATTTAATGCCATTTTTAGGTAAAGCGAATATTATTATAACTTGGCAAATTTAAATCGTTAGAAAAAATGGCCAAAGTCAAAGTATGAAAGAATAAAGTTTTTCATAATTATTCTTGTTTTTTACCATTGAGTTTTACCAAAGAACTTGCTTTCATACTATTGATACTGATGAGTTTTTAAAATAAAATGTTATTAAATAATAACTAATAAAAATCAATAAATGAAAACTAATTAATACCTTTATGAATAGAAATAATGTTTTGTTAAAATAAAATGAGATTTTCTGTTTTGATTAATTTCCGAAACGTATTTAATATTTTTTAAATCTTCGGTATTCAGTTTTTCATTTAAATTATTAACTTATTGTAAATAATATCATGACTTTAGACATTATAAACAAA